TGGAACGTATGGGTTCAGCACCCAGTCATCGTTTGCTCCCTAGTTGAAAATGACATCCAACGCACATGGCGTGCATAGCGAACCTGAAAAGCTTAAATGATGTCAATTTGATACGAACGGCCCCAAGCATCCTGCACCATTCATTTGCAGGGATTCACGGGGGAGGACTTGGCAGTTGCTTCAAAAGCCCTGACATTTGTCAACCGCGTTCATACTGTGGATGGACGAAATCCTGCACCACTTTGTTTCCATGAGAAACCAGGGTTCCCTGGTATTTACAAGGGAATCAGCATTCCAGGGCTTCTTAGGTGCAGGATTTGGTCCGTCCACCCTTTTTTTCTGTAGTCTAGTTTAGTAGGGGAACCCTCCCCCCAAAAAATGGGTAAAAGGGCACTACTGGGGGACCTAGTCAGTTTGCTCACAACACATGACCCGCGACCGTTGAGATTCAAGAGGACATCAAACCGAAAGCCAAAGGCAAAAAGAAGTCACGACCGCTTGAACTAGGGGTTGGTGTAGGGCTGGTTTAGGGTTTCTTTAGGGTAGGCAATGAGACCAGGAACAAGTGCAGTCACGATACGTAGGGATCCAAGATCATATTCCAAGAACCGTGGCCGTGGAAATAAAATGGCACTCTCTTTTGTTTGGTCTTGGTTGCTGGCGAGACCCCTCTGCAAGCAGTTTAACTTTTTGTGGATCTACTAGAAAATCCACTGTTTTTGCAAAAAGTGGAAGTCCAAAGACCCAACCAAATAGCCACAAAGTGAACTTCAAAGGCTGAAAATCGACCAGAAGAAGGTGGACAAAGGAAAGAACCCACTGGTAATGTTGACCCAAGAAAGAAAACAACCTCAGTCTACTTTTACAGGGGTGGTCTGAATCCCCACTGCACCCAGTCAAGAAGACACCTCTAGGTGACTTACTTGGGTGTTCACTCAACAAAAGTGGTTCACCTAGACAACCTACCTACAATGACCTACAACTCCTGCGTCGGCTGGCCCCAAACAAGTCTGAACTTTTGACTTACCACCAAACTGGTCCAAACCCAAAAAGTGAAACGAAAGTCCGAAACAGAACTCGATCGGAAGTGAGTTACACAAACAAAGAGGGTCCGATATTCTGGGGTCCCAGGAGGTTGATTCAACCCAGTGGATTTTCCTGGTTCACCTAGACAAGCTGCCTACAACACAGGGAAAATTTCACCTAGACCAGGCCCTTCGCCTGCGCCCGCCGCCGCGGCCCTGGCAAGAAGTGCGCCCTCGCCTATCGACTCGAGGCGTCCACTCACGGCCGGCCGGCGGATTCCTTTGAGTCGCCGCGAGCGGCCCCTCGCCGCGCTCGTTCGAACGGCGGTTCGAACGGATGTTTTTTTTGGAAGGCGAGTCCCCACCTCAGCGAAAAACCAAATCTTCCGGGCAGGGATCCATCTGACTCTGGCCGAACTTCAGGCACTTTGGGTGAGCTTTGACGAAGACACGCACGTTCCCGAAAACGGAAAGCTCTCGTCTGAAGCCGACATGGCCAGCGTCCATTGTTGGAGGGAGGGTGCCCCCGCAAAGAAAACGCGACAAGAATCACCGGAAAGTGCAACGGTATTCCAAGCAAAGCCATCAACAAACGCAGAAAGAAAGAAGCAAGATACCGAAAAAGACCAAACAAGCACCTGAGTACCTGCTTGTCAAGAAAACACAACTAGCATGGAAGACACCCCAAGTCAGTTGAGTGACAATCAAAACCTGGTATTAACATGGTCGACCCAGAACCAGGTAAAGAATTAAGAAGGCGGCCGCAACTATTTATGGCTGGGACTGTTCCTTACTAACCCTTCACTTACCCGGGTTTTGATTGTGACTCAGTTGACCATTCTGAAATTCACTCTCGTGAGGTCTGTTAGAAGGGTGTGGATTTGGTGGCCTAACACATAGGAGGTTTGGGTGTGAATAGGAGCCCAAATAAACATCTGTGCGGGGGGGTCGAACAATCCCGCTGACTTTTGCAAGTGAATTGCCCGCAGATTCAAGTTCCGAACGAAACATGCGCCTACATGTTGAACCAACCAGTTTCTGCCTTGAGAATGCTTCGGCCGATGAATATCTTCCACACTACTCAGCTGCCCAGCTGGGACCCAAACATACAACCTGCATTTGCTTAAGGTGCCTGGAACAAGCAAACAAACATCCAGTACTGAAATCGATTCCATTCAAAACCAACAGGGGGAAGTAAAGCATACTCTTAAGCATTGAAACAAAAAACAAAACGGCTCACCTTTCAGGACCTTGACCAAAACCGGGAACTCCACCAATTGGAAAACCGAAGATCAGATCCAGTGAGTTGTGGAAAGCGAGTGAGTCGCTGTTCACGGAGTGGAATTCCAGGGGGGCGGGGTCCTAAGGCTCCCTGCGGAACCTAAAGGAAGCCTTGGGAACCCTAATGAAGCCTATGGCTCTCAACTAGCCACCCTCGTACCAACCCCCCTTAGGGATTCCACAATTGCTTTCAATTTCGGAATGGCTGAGCACGTTTGCGTGTGACGCCAACCCCAAGAAATGGAACTGAAGCCCGTCTCAGTCTCGCGATCAGGTCTTTGGCAAGTCGTCAGTCATGGTAACCCACTGCCCCCAGTTATAACCATGGTTTCAACCTACTGTGGATGGACAAAATCCATTCGCTCCACCTACGAAACCCAAAGAAATGATTTGATCCCCCTGTAAATACCAACAAAAGTTATGATTTCAACCATGGTTTCATTTTGCGGTGCGCAATGACTTCGCCACCATCCACAGCTAGGTCCTCCGGTAGCTTGAGGTTAGGATAAGGGTACCAACTTTTTCTGTAGTCTATTTGAGTAGGGGAACCCTCAACATAGCCACTCTGCCACTCGCCCACCACCACCGCCGCTTTCGCGCCTCCCGTAAGTCTGCCTGGCAATCCTCCAGGAGAGAGGACACCGGCGCCTCAGACTCGGAGCGCGCGAGCCATGCCCTGGCTCGTCTTTTTTGGGGTCGGTACCCCCTTTCTTGTGGGTTTTAGGTGAAACCAAGGGGAAACCAACAACAAAAATGGGGGGGGGCCCTAAAAAAAAACACACCCGGGCTTTTTTTTGGCTTCCCTTTGAATTCTGGTAGTAGGATGCCCTCGAAAAAGCAAGCAATTCCAAAGACTAGGTTCGAAATCAATCCACCATTGTGCCAAAGGGTTTCCTGGTAGCGCACGGATTGGGAATTGGGATATGTTTGGGGTCCTCGATTTGGACAATACCAGATTCCCTGTAAAACAAACATTCTTAAGCAAACCACGAAAGGACCGGTTTCAGGCTTTGGTCCTTGGTTCCATTTACCTAGGTTCCATTTTGGGGTTAGCCAATTTTTCCTGGTAAATGAAACCAAAAGACTAAAACCTGCGGTCCAATTCCTGGCAAACAAAATGACCCACACCCATATTTGGTCTACCCTAAAACCTAAACGATTCCTTCTGGAGACCCACGGCTCTCCGACCCTCTCAGCTCAGCTCGGCTCGAGTCTCGGCTCGTCTGAGCGCTGCGCGGGCCATCGCCAGGTTTCAAAGTCGTCCGCGAGCACTGAAGACACCGGCACCTCAGCGCTGGGAGCTCCCCGTTCAACTTCCGGGCTTGGTGGGGTGGGCGAGTTGCTTGCTCGCCTGCTCGACTGCTTGCCTGTCTGCCTGCCTGCTTGCTTGCTTGCTTGTCTTCCATTTGCTTCTGCGCCCCCATACTTCCAGTAGTCAAATAGATTCCCTTTGAAACCTAAAAGGTACAACAAAACACACATCTTCTGAAGCAGATTCAAGGAAGCCAACTCAAGCCAACCACATGGTGTGTTGTTCATTGTTGTTTCCCTTTAACATCACCAAATGTGCGCGCCCTGAAAAAACAAACAAACATAAATTATTAGCCAAATTGAAGTTGGTGGGTTGGTTCAAGGTCCGAACACCCTTGTGGGAACAAGCAAAACCAACATCCCGAGGATGCAGCCCACAGCAAAACCACCCCGAAACCACGGGAGAAACTGGCAATGGGTCCACCATCTTGTGGGGGGAGCTAAAACAGAACCAAGAGACACCCCCTGTTCTGGCGCCATTATGTTAACTGTTTCTTGTGGTTGTCAAAGTCAGAAAATGTGGTTGCTCTCCTTTTCCCCACCAGTTAGGGGGTGACTTGATCATGGTAAAATCATGGGGCCTGATGTTTTTCCCCCGGTTTAAGAGACAACTGTTTCCGTGGTTGGTTCCATGGAATGCCTGTCACTTAGGCGATTTGGCAACAAACCGAATGCGGTCTGCAAACAGAGCAGCCGAGATTCTGTCCATGCGACGTCTGACAACCCGTTCCGGGGCTTCATGCATATTAGTTTCCACGTTTCAGTATTGATTGTTGTCATTGTGTCCGCATGTTGTTCCTTATATATTGCCTCTCCTTCTTTACTTGTACTAGCATGTTCTGTCTGCATTGATGTTCCTCATGTAGTTATGTCTTTCTTTGTGCATGCCACTACAGTATATCTTTATTTGTCTGTCTGTCTGCTCCTCTCTGTCTTTGCTTACCTATTCAGGTTTTTTTATTATTGTTTGTTGTATCTGTTTTGTCTCTGTCATGACTGTTGTCTTTTGGAAGTTTGTGTTTTTATGTCGCATATTCATTATGTTGCTCTTTCTTTATCAGTTTACTTGTTGCTTATGTTCTTGTTATCTTTTGTCTTTTACTTTGTCTATTTCATCCTGTATTTGTAGTTTTCTCGCTATTCTTGCTTGATTTGTTCTTCACACGGGTCTGGCTGTCTTTTCCTCAGCTGGTCAACCATTTCAAGCTCCCTGTCGTGTATCCAGCGCTTGGTGCCCCCAAAGTCCGCTTCTTGTTTGTTTGCTTTGCAGAACTTTGTTCGCACGCCCACTGAAAACCCCGCGGGGCCCTGCTTTTTCGCATCCTGAGAGAAACCCCCGCGCCATGCGCCAGGGCGTTCATCGGCGACACCGCTTTTTTTCTTCTCCCTGGGCAGAGCTCACTGCAACGACTGCTTCCAAGGGGCTGGCTGCTTCAAACGGATCCAGTTGGACACGGCATGAGCCGTGTGAAGACTCCAACTCTGGTCACTTGGCCGTCACTAGCCGTCGCTTGGGCGTGCCCACCTGCACGATGGATGCCATTTCCTGTGAAGCTTTGATACCATGCCAGTTGGTGACTTACTTATTTGCCTGGCATCGCAAATCTTGTGCTAGGGAGACAAAGCCGCCATGTTCCAACAAGCCAAACAAGCCACAGAAAGTAAGATTCCCACAACCAGATGGCTGCCTTTTCGTGACGATACTTTCTCTAGGAGGTGCTTTCTAAAGCGCAAGCAGTAAAGAACCCCCGTGTGCAGGCATGCAGTCAGCCAATTGAACGCGCCTTCTGCAAGCTCCTTGAAGCCAAACGCATCTGCTCCGCCAAAATGTCCTAGCCGTTGAAGTTCGTCTCAGGTCCGGCCCCTGCCGCGTCCTCGCAAGGGCACCGCTTCTTCCTCGTCCTCCAGAGTTCGCGCACCTGATTAAACAGGGATCCTTACATTATACACCTGAACATTGCCACGTAAATGGTGGTTTCCCTTTAATTATACATTTTGGCGGAAAAAACAGCATGTTTCAATTGGTTGCAAAATGTATCTTTTAAGGAGCCCTGTTAAACCTCAACAGCTGTTCTAACATCCACATATTGGGAAGCCCAGGCCAGGTGTCCTTGACACATACACGGCACTGGTGAATGATTAGGACCAGACTGAAACCAGTACAAACCAGGTACTTTCAACCAAACGTACAACAACACCCATGGGGGATCTATAGTGGTTGCTGCCTGAAAGTGCAGAGTCGGGTTCCCCAAAAGGAAAGTCCAAACCCTGTCAGCTTCAATAACTAATGAAAGAAGAGCAAGGCAATTTTACCATCCGAACTTGGTTTTTGTTGACCCCCCCCCAAAAAAAAAGTTTAACCATTTGGGGGTTTAGTGGAAAGCCCCTTGAGTTCGCAAAAAGTTAAAGTATGAAGATCCAACCCAAGATCAACTGGCAGCCTCCTCACAGCCACGCCCACGCCCGCTTCCACCCCGGCCACGGCCGCGGGACTGCGCGCGGCCGCTCCCGCGCGAGCCACGGAAAGAAGCGGATGGCTCGAACTCGCCGCGCCCGCGCTTGTTGCTCCTGAAGCTGGGGCAATCTGGAAGTAAAGCAACCAAATGTAGGGCGATTCCTATGTTAAAGCAACCAAATGCTTGTTTATGGGCACTATGAATCCCATGAAGCCACGGAAGTAGCTCCCTTTTCACATGGAACTTGACAGGGACCGGATTCCTTGGAAGCGAAAAATGGGCCAAACCAGGACCCCCGAACGTCAGGTTCCATGTTAATTTGTGGGAAGGTAAGCTAATTGAAACGGGCGGACACCAAGCTTCTGGAAGTAAGGGATGCCCAACATGCCCAAAGCACTTGCAACTGACAAACAGTGCGGCTCCCAAAACCTCGGGCACGAACAATCAAGCATATCCTGCAAGCGAACCCCGAGAACATGAGCGGCCATGCACAAACGCTACCCCTTTGGCAGCTGCAGTTTTTCGCGGAAACCAACACAAAAGGAACCAAAAAGGCCGCTGCCAACACCCAAGTCCCAAGAACTGCTGTTTCCCATGTCAAAGACTTGCTAGTGCGATAGGAAGGGGATGGGGAAATAACCCCTATAAACCATCCCTTGTTTTTTTCTTGGGGAATGCTAGGTTCACATTCCCTACCTATCGCACCAGCAAGGAACAGTCCCGAGCCTTCAACCCGACCCCTCGTAAAATACCCCTAAATAACGTTAAGCTGTTTTCCCCTAAATATGCTTGACCATGCCCAACCTCTATTTTGTTGACCCCAGTCCAAAAGCCAACAAAAACACAATCTCTGGGTGTCCATGTTCATGATGATTTCCTTGCAAAACAATCAACCAAGGGTACACTCCTCAAAATGATGTGCACTAGTTAAGTACACCGTCCCGCAAATACAGCTGAGAGCGTGTTGCCTCTCAACATTGCTTACCCCCTGTTGATTCCACTCGATCGCTGCCATTGCCAGCGTCCCTTTCTGATGACATCTTGCAGTCCAGCCTCATGATGGTTTCTTTATGCGAAGCCTCTTCAGAAAGCAAGCCAAAAAAATCGACCAAGTTTAACCCCCCACAAAGTAATTTGCACAAAATAAACCATACCCTAACTAAAGCCAATGCTCTGGGTCAGTTCGCGGAAACGCAGCCAAATACAAAAGTATTGTTGCCACACGCACTGTCCCTAAATAAACCTAATTATGTGGGCCACTTCCTGGGTATGCATCACAATACGAAAACAATATAAAAGTAGAATTGCTCCTTTTAAAGAGTACTGCCAAGCTTCCTGGAATTTGACTGCAATACAAAACCAATTCAAAAACATAATTGCCAGACTTCCTGGCGCCTGACCAACAATTCAAAAGCAGTATTGCCCCTTTCAGAAGTATTTCCAAACGTCCTGAAATTGACCGCAATACAAAGCCAATTCAAAAAAATAGCATCACTAAACTTCCTGGGCTCCAACTCCACAAAATTGTCCCTTTGAATACTATGGGGAGGACTACCTCAGCTCTTGACCCCAGCTGAAAAGGACAGCTTCAGATTCTGGCCCATATCTAGTGAACCTAAAACAACTCAGAAAAGGAACCCGGAAAAAACATTGCGGGCCTTCAACTTAAGTACCCCGAACAAGGTGGGAACCCCGGGTGTAATAAACCCTGGTTCATTTCCTATTGAGAACCAGCAAGCCGTAGGAAAACAGGGGAACATAAAATCAAACCCGGATTGAGAAGCCCCGTATTTTTGGTGGGGATGCGGACCACTTTGTTGGCGAGTAATCTTCCCAGTTACCCCCGGATTGCAAAACCCCTAGTTGATAGGGACCCCTCCCTTTTGGTGGGCATTCACCCAACTTTTGTGGGTGACACCTCCCCTCAACGGGCTGGGTGGTCGGCCCCATTTGTGGGAAAGCCACCAAAGAACTGAGCTGCCCTCAGATCCCCCGCTAAAAGTTCAACTTTTGGTGGGTTAAATGGAAACTACTAAACACTAAAAGGCTCAGCTAAGGAACCTGATGGCTGGGAGCCACCAAGACTGGAAAAAGTATTGGAGGGACACCCCTTTCGTGAGTGATACGCCTCCTCATGCGGGCTGAGTAGGCTTCCCATTTGTGGGGAAGCCAAGAAACATCAACCCAAAAGAAACGCTGAATTTAAAGCTCACCCAAGAAGTGATGTATCAACCAGCCTAGGGACATGTAGGGGAGGTTTGTGGAAACAAGTATTAAGATTGGAAAAAGTATGGCTGTGGGTCAAAAATAGGGTAATCCCAACATGGCTTGCCCTGGTAAATGGAGCCAAAAACTAAAACCTGTGGTCCAGATCCTGGTGGCTTTATTTTGAACATCCACCGATGTTTGGAGGTGTTTCTTCTGTTTTCGGAGAGGTCTTGTTTTTGTTTTAGGTTTTCCAACTTTTGGCTTTCCCTTTTTGTTTTGGGTTTTCCAACTTTTGGCTTTCCCTTTCTACCTGTCTCCGTTGGACCCACACCGGTATTGGTGCTGAACACCTGAGGATTTCCAGCTGAGACGCTGATGGACCTTGGAGGCCTTGTGCTCCTCGCTCGCGAGAGGGAGTTGGTTCAGCGCGGGCTTGGCAATTTGTGGGTCAAAATTAAACCACTCGGCTTGGCCCCTGCAAAAGTGCATCACTTTTTTGGGGTTTAGTGGAAAACACCTTATTTCCCAAAAAGTTAAAGTCTAAAGATCCAACCCAATAGGAGTTAAGTAGGGGACTGCAGGTTTTAGTCCATGTTTCCATTTTGGGGTACCTATTTTTGACCCACAGCCATTTCTTTCTACGCTGGATGTTTTACATATTGCAAGTGGGGGGAACAAGGGGACCATCTAATTTAGGGTTAACTGCGATTGTTAGTCACACACAATATTTGGGGCATCCACCATGCAATCACGGTTGTGGGATGTGAGTCGCAATCTGCGATTCTACCATCATGACTATGTACTATCACTTGAAGGCGATTCCGTTGAACCGCTGGCGACACACAACAAGGCACAAGTGCTGCTAAAAAGGTTCCTTAGCCAACCTCGGTTTCCCCGCATATGACAATGGGTGTAACCTACTTATTAAGTTGGCTGAACAAGACGACCACAAACCGCACCTCGGGTTTTCTCAAAATAGAGGGAACCTCCAAGATAGATGTTTCCCTTTAATCAAGCCTGAGCAAAGGTGCTGAAGAAGACACTGCCACAACTACCCTGACTCAGAACATGGTTGTGGCTGTGACCCCAAAGTGGTTGATTCACATGGCTTCAACCCTTGGAGAGGAATGCCCTGAGGGCATGACAAAAACTGGCCTTATCCCCCCAATAAGCCCCAATATTCAGCCAAGAACTTAGCAAGTAATCAAAGTAGGATATAAGCGTGGCTATCTTCACCTACTAAGTTGGACATCCATTTTGGAATGTTCAGCCGAGGGGGGAAACATGGCACTCCTGGTGTCAAAGAAGTGAATATTCAGAGCTTTCCCCCCCTCTCTTCCCGCATGTCCAGGCCCCAGCAAGGCAATCGCTGGAGGTTCTAAAAGCACTAGGTCCTCCAGAGAGAGAGGTTGGAATCAGGGTACCGACTTTTTTCTGTAGTCTATTTTAGTAGGGGAACCCTCCTCAAAAAATAAGCTCGGGCGATATCCCCAACAGCACCACACCCTCCCAGAATCCTCGCGGACGCCCCGGGACCATCCTTACCGCCGTAAAGCAAAGCCACGAGTGACAGCGCAATCTCGCCCTGATCGGGGCCCGACGGCGCAATTAAGGCCCGATCGGGGCCCGACGGCGCAATCGGGGCCCGATCGGGGGCAATCGGGGCCCGATCGGGCCGACGGTGCAATCGGGCCCCGATCGTTCCGTGGCAACCCCAGCCACCCATATTATAGCTCAACGCCGGTTTTCCTTAGCATGCGGATTGCAAGTGCATCTATAGCAAAACTAGGCGATGCCAGCTTGGTACAATTGACCGATCGGGGCCCGACGGCGCAATCGGGGCCCGATCCGGGCCCGACGGCGCAATCGGGGCCCGATCGGGGCCCGACGGCGCAATTGGGGCCGGGGCCCGATCGGGGCCCGACGGTGCAATCGGGCCCCGATCGTCCCGTGGTGCAACCCCAGCCGCCCATATTATAGCTCAACGCCGGTTTTCCTTAGTATGCGGATTGCGACTGTATCTATAGCAAAACTAGGCGACGCCAGCTTGGTACAATTGACGGGGCCCGACTGAGTCGGGCCCCAATCGGGGTGCGATGGCGCAATCGGGGCCGATCGGGCCCAAACGGTGCAATCGGGCGGGCCCCGACAGTGCAATCGGGTTCCGGTGAACCTCAACTCTTGCAACCCAAAGCAAACCAAGCAGCAATGCCAAGCATTTACTCTGCTGCACCGTGAGTTCCGCAGCGACGTGATCTGATTTGCAACAAAGCCAACATTTGCCTGAGCAAGTGAGCAAGTCACAAAACAGTGAAAGTGTGCTAAAAGCCATTGATTTCGGTTTTGCTTACTGTTCCGCCCATGAGAAAAGCGATCTTGATCTGATGGCTTTTCAGACGACGGGCGCACGACACACCCTTCATGGAGCATTGTGGAGCCTTGTGGAACCCGTGTGGAATCCTTGCAGAGCTTTGTGGAACCCTGTGAAACCTCAGGGCCCACAGCCCTCGCAGAATCTTGTGGAACCCTGAAACCCTCATACAACCTTACCTCAAACCACCCCGGACCACGAACCTCGTGGGACCCTGCTAGAACCGTGCTGGAATGGAACCTTACCTTGCAAAACCTGGTGAATTCTGGTGGAATTCTCATGGAACTGGTGGAACCCTGGTGGAAACCTGATGGAACCTTCGTGGGACCTTACCTCAAACCACCTCGGACCACCCTGCAGCCCTTGCAGAACCTGGTGAAACCCTGGCAGAATTCTGGTGGAAATCTGGTCAAACCCTCGTGGAACCTTCCTCAAACCAGCCCTCGAAGAAATTGCTGGAACCCTGATGGAACCCTCGTGGAACCTTACCTCAAACCACCCCGGACCACCCTGCAGTTACCTCAAACCCCGCAGCCTGGAACCCCTGGCGGAACCCTCGTGAAACCTTCCGCAAACCCGCAGCCCTCGAAGAAATTGGTGGAACCCTGGCGGAACCCTCGTGGAACCTTACCTCAAACCACCCCAGACCACCCCGCCCTTGCAGAACCTGGTGGAAGCCTGGTGGAAGCCTGGTGGAACCCTGGTGGAACCCTGGTGGAACCCTGGTGGAACCTTGGTGGAACCCTGGTGGAACCCTGGTGGAACCCTGGTGGAACCTTGGTGGAACCCGTGGAACCCTGGTGGAACCCTTGGTGGAACCCTGGTGGAACCCTGGTGGAACCCTGGTGGAACCCTGGTGGAACCCTGGTGGAACCCTGGTGGAACCCTGGTGGAACCCTGGTGGAACCCTGGTGGAACCCTTGGTGGAACCCTGGTGGAACCCTGGTGGAACCTTAGCTCAGGGTCGCCCCGAACCACCCCGGAGCCTATCTGGGCTGAGACCCCAAAGCTTTCAGCTGTTGGGGAAAAAGGGTAAAAGCGCACTACTGGGGGACCTAGTTGCAACCCGAGGCACCAGCATCTGATCTTCGGAGGTGAAGCCCTTACTGCAAACCGCGCACCAAAAGTCGAAGCCTCAGAACTCGATCCGCGTCGCCGCGTTCGAGTCGCCGCCTCTTTTTTCAAGCGACTGGCAGTTGTTTGGCCGCCGGGAATCGTTGATGGCCAACAGCCAGGTGAGGCAATCGGTTTTGATCCGGTGGATCCGCTTTGGTACATTCTCGCTTCTGATCCAGTGGGTGGCCAACACAAATTTGCACCCACAGTTTCTGTGTACAACTAAAATGGTCCACTCCCCTCAAAAGTAAAAGATACTAAAACGGGCCACGCCCCTCCCCCCCCCCCAAAAAAAAAAAGAAGCTCAGGTGATATCCCCAACAGCATGCGGTGCTCTTTTTACTGCTCGCACCACCCCGCAGCCCTCGCAGAACCTCGCAGAACCTCGTGGAACCCTGGTGGAACCTTGGTGGAACCCTGGTGGAGCCCTCGTAAAACCTTACCTCAGGGCCGCCCCAGACCACCCCGGAGCCTATCTGGGCTGAGACCCCAAAGCTTTCAGCTGTTGGGGGAAAAAACACACACACACACACACACACACAAAGTGACGAAAGCTCGCAGGGAGTGAGTTGACATGGGACCTGACAAACCATCTTGAAGCCTGAATCTGCTTTCGGAGCCTAAAGCGAAATACCGGACCTGCATGGATGCACTTCCCATCGAAAGAGGCAGACAGGCATTGGTGCCTCGAGCCTCCATTTAGAAGTGCCGATCAAAGCTGGGGTCACGACCCCAAGGGTCATCGAAAGCCGAAGAAACCCGAAGAAACTGAAAGCAACCCTAGGGACCCTTTGAAAAACCTCACTTCCCATCGAGTTGAGTCAGAAAGAGTGGCCCAAACTTTCTGTTTGCCAAAACAGGGTCCAAACTGATCCCCTGCTAAAAGTGAACAACTTGTGGGTTACCAAACCCAACCACCTTTCACAAAACGACTAAACACCCTTCAGGAACCGAATGGCTGGTTGAACCACCAAGCAAAATGGAACCTTTGCATTTTCTATCGACCAAATCAGGGAAACCAAAAGATCAAAAGGTCGCCCTTGGGTTCAACCCACAAAAGAATGGTTATGACTCAAATTGGATGACGACTCTTCCGATAAACAATGGTGGTCAAACTCACCCCCTTTGTTTCAACGGTGGTTTGAACAACTGAGAAAGTGGTCCCAACCCCATCCATGAACTCAATTCGGGCCCCACCCGCCTCGATCGATTGTTTTGGTGCCAAGTGGCCCGCCCACTTGGCCACCGTCGCGTCCGTGAGATGCCAGAAGTGGCACTTACCTCATACCCTACCCTACCCCATCCCACCCCCCTGGAATCGAACCCGTGGCATTTGCTTTGTGACATGGAGTTCAACGTGAATTGTTTGGGGTTCGGAACTTCGGGGATTTGGAGTTTACCCAAAAAACTCTAAGGCCCTACCCGTGAATTTCCGATTTCCTGAGAGGAGCTTCGGGGTTGTAGGGCAAACTCCCCCCCGCAACCCAAACTTGGGAGGTTTCTATTTTGTTTGTTTGTTTTTCGGGGAGGGCAACTTGATAATTATTTCCCGCTTGCTCTCACGCTTGATGGCAGTTGTTTGCTTTACAAACTTGCGCAGAGTTACTTTACTAGGTCCTCCAGTAGAGAGGTTAGCATAAGGGTACCCTTTTTTCTGTAGTCTATTTTAGTAGGAGAACCCTCCCCCAAAAAAGAAGCGGCAAAAGGGCACTACTGGGACCTAGTTTATGTTGGGAGACCTGCGGATTTGGGTCAAAACAAGGTCGGAGTTGGATTCAACACAAGCCACCAGAAAGCACACGGCTTGCAAGTGGCTGGAAACAAAAGAACAGGCCCCGACTCCAGTCCTTTGGCACCCCTTACCTCGACCAAACCCTGCGATTCCATGTTCCCTGAAGCACAGCCAAAGGAACCATGTACAAACTAAACGGAGTATGGCTTGCCTCACTCCTGATCGAGTGGATTGCCAACAGAAAGCGCCCCAAGCTTCTTCATCCCTAAAATGGTTTAAACCCCAATTATTGTCAAGTCCATAAACCCCGGAAACGAATTGCTGCCTTGGCGCGTGATCCACTGAAAAAGCATGAGGTCCCGACTCTCTGTCCACTCGCACAATGCTGGGTGTGCGTCAATCTTTTTTCCGGGGTACTTTTCCTGTCCATGTTCTGATCCCTTGCTGCAAGCCTCACTGCTGGTCGGAACCCGTGAAAATTGTCTAGGGGTGGAAGCAAATACCCCTTGTTCAGACTGGTTCCCAAATGTCCGGGTTCCCAAATTTGCTGGTTCACCACCCCTCGATCCTGGACAGTTTTTACTTCTTGGGATGAACAAAAAGGCCCTTGCCTGGATCGCCAGTTGCTTCTGATTCTCCATGCGCCTTACCCCAATAACTGGCAACACCGACTCAAAAACAAGCGATCGCCACTTGGCTATCTAGGTAGTTTTACTGGTGGAAAGCACAAACAAAAAACGCGGAACGCACGACTCAATTCTCAACCGCCCCCCCATTTTAGGGGAGATGCAATGGGTTGGCTGGAAATACCCCGCCCCTAAACCCCACCAAAAGCCTTGAACCCCGGGACGCGCTTCTTGACACTGGGGGGAGTTGTGTCCTACCTGAGAGGTCCCCAATCAACATTCCTAGCCCTAGGTTAGTAAGGGACGATCCCCTTGCCATAAATAGCCACGGATATATCGGCTTCTTAATGCTGTACATGGTTCTGGGTAGACCAAACGACATATCCTCTTTTGGTGTCCCTTTGGGTAAATCAATGGTGAAATATATCGCACCCAGGTTCCGCCCTACTGGGCCCCAGCTAAAAGTTGGACGGTTGTTTGTAAAAAATCGGCAAAGCACTGAACGAACTAAACTAAGCACCTTTCAGGAAATGGATGGCTGGGAACCACCAAGTTAGACAAACCAATCATCTCAATGGATCCCACTTGAGTCGCAATCAAAACCTGGTACTAAGATGGTCTACCCAGAACCATTTACAGCATTAAGAAGGCGGCTATTTATGTTTGGGATCGTCCCTTACTAACCTAACCATCTACCCGGGTTTTGAGCAAGTGGCTCACTTATGGCTTTTGGAAAACCAGTTTAACCATTTGCGCCTGCTTCACCAACCCCCCGAAGGTGTGATTTGGCTCTCGGTTTGGGCTTTACGGACCCGTTACCTTTCTCACGCTGAAGGAAGAGAGGTACGTCGCAACCACAACTCCAAACCATCTAAGGGCTGCCCTCCCTCCAACATGGCACCTGACAAAAAGTCCCTTCAAGAGGAAAGTAATCTTCCAGGTACCTCCCCACAAGCGACCATGTTAGTGGGAGGAAGGGTAGCTGGTACCTGTGAGTCGTTGCAGGGTGTCTCCCCGCCCTGCAATGCAGGCAAGCAGAACCTCACTTTGCGGGTGGATGTCCCAACAAACGTATCCACCGGTTGTTTTGTTACCAATGCGGTTTTCCCGAAAAGTCCATTTGTCCATGAACCCAGGGAGTGCTTTTGGTGTTTCCCTCAGTTCCTGCTTTTACGCACAAGTGACTCTCGGTTGCTTTCTGCTCCCCTGCTAAAAGTGAATAACTTTTAGTGGTTTAGTGGAAAACCCATTAGTTGGCCAAAAGTTGTTCAGTCCTAACATCCCTTGGCAAAGTGCCCAAAAGGAAGGACTCGGATCAGATCGGAAACCCCAACGCCCGCGTGCAACTTCGCCGCCCGTTGGCCGCTTGCATCCCCCGCGCTGATGGAAGTCCTTACCTGGGCGCAAGGCGCCTAAAACTCGGTTGCTGCAACGACCCCCCTGCAAAAAGTGCATCACTTTTGGGGGGGTTTAATAACAAACACCTTTATTTCCCAAAAAGTTCAAGTCTAAAGATCCAACCCAATAGCAGTCAAGAAAAGGCAAAGAAGCTGTGGATGGGGCACAGAAATACCAGCAAACTGGTTGTGCGCCACTACGGTCCAAACTTTTCAAAAGAGTGACTAAAGTCCAACTCAGGGAGTGAGCCTCCACTGGAACGCTGTTATCACGCCTGTGCGCGTGCAAAACTTAAGGAACAAAGTGCCTTTACCAGTCGTGACTATGGATTTTCCACAATCAGCCCCAGCTGAAAGAAAACTGCGGGCCCCTGCGGGCCCTTGGGCGGGGAGGGGGCCCTCAACGAGGTTCATATTTCTGGTGCCAAGGTCTGTTCGGGCCAACAAGCCATTGACCCTTCATGACAGTGAAACACGGATGCCCCTTCCCCGAACCAGCGGTTTCTGGGAGGGATTCTGGGCATGGGGTGGATCTTTTTGACAGAGCTTCTGTGATCAAGCGTGCCCTGCGAAACGCAAGCCTTGGCCAATATGTTCAGTCCACAGGAAAGTAGTATACAACCTCGTTGAAATGAGGTTAGGTTAACCGGAAACTGGGGTTTGCTTCCTTCAAATCCTGTGGATTCAGAAAAGTTGAAACTGTAAAATGTTCCGCATGGTCCAAACCACTGGAAGGTTGCTAAAGCCCACCAGCTGGGGAAACTAGCTATAAAAACCCTTCCCTCGCGTGGGTTGAACCTCCAACCCCCACCCCCCCGCCCACCCAGTTGCTTGCCGAACCGCAGCGGGGGATGTTCAAAGCTCGGATCGCCTCGGACAGCTTCCTCAGCTTGGCGACCCCGGCATAAAACTCAAAACTCTAGCCCAACCAGTAGAACCGCTGCAAAAGTTCACTTGAGTCATAATCAAAACCCGCTATTAAAATAGTGTACCCAGAGCCCATGTAGAGAATTAAAAAGGCGGCAGCACTCATTTATGGCTGAGATTGCCATGTCCTTTACTACCATCAGAATACGCGGGTTTTGATCACTTGCTGGTTGAAAAACCTCATGGCAAACCCGAACAACTCACGTCCGATCGAGTGGATTTGTAAAAAACAAAAACTGGCTGTTTACAAATAAAATGGTCGTCCCAAAAATGAAAGTCCATGAACCAATAAACGGCAAATAGTTGAAACCAAGCGCGAACTTATGTCTGGCTAGGAGGTCAATGAACCAACACTAGTGAAGACACTCTTGCAAGTCTAGACAAATTACAAGAAACACAAGTTGAGACTGATTGGACCCTCTTCCCAGATCCCCTGCTAAAAGTGTAAAACTTTTAGTGGAAACTACCACCAAACGACCTTCAAAAACAACACCACCTTTTAGGAACCGGATGCCTGGGAACCGCCGAGTTTGACAAACCGATCATCCCATCTCACTTCTGGCTGATGGAACAGCAGGCTGTTCCACCATCCGGATGGGGGTTGGTTTCCTTTCGTTCCTTTTCTGGAAGAACGCCATCCCAGTTCCGGAGCCCTAAGACAAGAGGCGGGTCTGTCTTTCTTGGAGTTGGTATCCAGTTGTCGGTGGTTTTAAAGGGACACCCACCCAGCTATTTCTTTGGGGGGGAAGGAATTTTCGGGTCCGATTCCTAAAAAGAAATCACCAACTAGAAATGGCTTGGGGCTCCCCGCAAGTTTTCATGCACCCAATTGTCCACTCTTCCAACCTCACTTCCTGGATTTGATTGGACAAAACGAAACAAGCTTTCGTTTGCCACTAAAAGATACACACGCAAGTTTTTGGGATACACACCATGTCCAGTGAAGTTCAAATTTCCGAGACCAGCATCTAGCTCCAAAACAGGAAGGCACCCCCAAATAACAGGACTCAACAACCAAAAAACCTTAATAAATCTTCTCCCACCTCAGTTTTTTTGGTTTTTCCGGCGTTGCTTTCTTGTGTTTGGGGGTGCCGCTTAACAGGAAGACGAAGACTAGGTCCTCCAGTAGAGAGGTTAGAATAAGTTGGTACCAACTCTTTTTTCTGTAGTCTATTCTAGTAGAGGAGCCCTCCCGCCAAAAACAAGGGTGAAAAAGGGCACCTGGCTGGGGGACCTAGCAAATAGAAGCTAACAAGGCCTGATAGCTCCCATTATTGGTAGATCCCAATAGCAATTTTGGAATTTACCTCACATAGGAAAACAGTTCATGGGGGAAAACAACAACGAAGACAGCCTCACGCGACCGAGACGCTTGCTGTACTTCCGCAGCGGCAGCTCCTGCAAGACCTGCGCCCGCTCCTCCGAGGTGAGCTTCTGCGGGTTCACGTGCCCGAACTTGCCTTCGTAGAAGCGAGAGACGGAGAGGCCAAGTCTCCCTGACTACTTGCGGGGTTCAAACAACCTTTAAGACAATGGGTGTTCATATGGCTATGAATTTTAATAAGGGACCTTTTGGTGGACATCATTTCGGTGGGGATTCATGTCCCCCAATCACTTTTGAGGCCACGACTCCCTGAGGCGACTTGGGTGTTCGATTCGCCAAGTTAGTAAGTGGGCAGCGCCACCTGGGTTAAAACCCACCTGCTACTCCAAAATCCTACAAAAAAAAGGCGGGGGGGGGGGGGTCCAAAACAGAACCTAGTTTTCAGAGGAGAAACCTGTGGGTTTATATAACTTGCTCTGAGGTTCATAGAACAAGTATTTACCATTCAGGAATTTCATCCTCTGAATTGGGTCCCAAGGCCATTCTTTTAATGGGGGTTGAACCCTAGGGTTGTTGCTACCCCAAAATTATGGTTGGTGCTTTCCCTGTAGTTCTTTCGGGTCCAATGCTCAAAGCAGACACACACACACACCTTTACCTAGCGACTAGGGCATACTACTGCTTAAAGGGGCCCATTATACCAATTATATCCTTTTGGCTTTCTTTAAACCAACCCCAAAACGGGTACCGAGCCTCGACAAAGACAAGCCCATTTCGAATGCTAAACGCCAAAAGACACACACCCTAAGTCTGACACTCAATTTTCGGAGTCCTGGGAGCTTCCATGGAATCGTTGGGGGGAGGGTAACTCTACTTGGATGTTCAAGCGGTTCCAGAACCATGTAAAGAATGAAGAAGGCGGAATTCCGCAGCTCTTTTTGGCAAGGGCATTGTCCCTAACCTTCATCTACCCCGTTTTTGAATATGGCTCACTGTTGTCTTTTCCCCACTTCCCACTGGCTTTGAAAGGGACGGACGGGTGTTTTTGTTGGAGCCTCCTGAGTTGGAAGACCCTGCAGCGCCAAGGGCGGGGCTTTTGACAGGGGAGAGTTCGTTGCCTAACTTCCGCGATCTCGTTTCGCGGTCTCGCGGCAGTCGTCGAACTTGCAGGTGCCCTCCAGATATCGAAAGCACACCGCGTTCCGCGCAGCTCGGCCCTTCCTCGGGGAACTTGCGGTTTCTCTTCGGAGCTTTTGGGGGGCCGGGGGGGTCGGGCCTCTGTTGGTTGGTGCTAATTAAAAGGCAACCAAATGGAAACAAAAAGAGGACAACTGGTCTAGGTCCTCCAGTAGGGGCTTAGAATAAGGGTACCCTTGTTTCTGTAGTCTATTTTAGTAGGGAAACCCTCCCCCCCAAAAAAATAAATAAAAGGGCACCACTGCAGGACCTAGTGGTTGTTGGCAGCTTGGCTGCAAAAGGAACCAGGAAAACAAAATGAAACCTCCACGTTTGGGGTCACCCTATTGAAACATACCCCTTTGGAGGAAAAAAGGAGGGCGACACCTTTCTCAGTGGATCCCTCTCTCTTTTTGCTCCCTCCCTCCCTCCCTCCCTCTCTCTCCCTCTCTCTCCGACAACACCGGGTATAGTGGTATGGCACAACTAAACACATTGCGCAGCCACGGGAAACAAACGCACAATTATGCTTGTCACTTGGCTAGTGACCAGCCCAAAAAAAGTGTGCACTTTTTGGGCCACCACTCAAGAAAATATAAAAAAAAAAGCCACCAAGGAAACAAGCCACCAAGAAAAAAGCCACCAAGGGAAAAAAACACCAAGGAAATAAAAAAAACCCAAGGAAATAAAAAGCCACCAAGGCAAAAAGCCACCAAGGAAATAAAAAGCCACCAAGGAAAAAAACCACCAATATTTTTTTTTTTTTTTTTTTTTTTTTTTTTTTTTAAACAGCCACCAAGGGAAAAAAAGCCACCAATAAAATGTCAATAAAGCCACCAAGGAAAACAGCCACCAAGAAAAATAAGAAAAACATAATAATAAAGCGCCAAGGAAATAAAAAGCCACCAAGGAAAAAAGCCACCAATAAAATATTCTAAACAAAAAAACACCAAGGAACAAAAACCACCAAAACAAATAAACAAAAAAGAGCCGCCAAGGAAAAAACATGTGTAAAGTGTGTCCACTGGGTGAGGCTGATGGGTCCTGTTCATCGAATCTCCTTGCTCCGAGGACCCGATCAGAAGGTGCAATCGAAGGTAGATTCCTTTTCCATTCTTTTCCACCAGCGTTCTCTTCACTTGGCTGGAATTAGGACCCCGGGAAAAAATAGACCTTTTTGTTGCCTGGTTAGTGGAAAACAATTGGAACCCCAAAAAAGAAAAACAGCAAGAAGGGGAGCTAATTCTGGGGAAGCTCAAAAACCAGATCCGTTTCCAACCTGGGATTCAAAGGAGGTTTTCTAGAAAGAAGATATCCCCTATCCGTTTCCAACCTGGGGATCTGATGGTCTGGAAAGATTTGGATCGGAAAGAATGCTTGGAAGTGTCCCCTAGTGAAATCGATTCCAACTTTAAAACCAACAGGGGAAAAATAAATAAAATAAAACGGAAGAAGCCTCCAACCCCTGGTTACAATACTGAAAACCCCCTATTAATCAACCCCTGTTTATCAATATGGGGGTGCTTCTCCCTGGTTTTAGTAGGGATTCAGACCACTTTTGGAGGGGAACACCCCCATATAAATAAACAGGGGTTTGTTAATCCGGGGTCAAGATTAGGCACTGGAACAAAAAAAGAAACCGAAGAAAACTCATGTTGACCCCGGATTCAGAAACCCGTCCAACTGGTAGGGGGTGTGTCCCTCGAAAAGTGATGAAAAACAAACAACTAAAAGGGCCCCCTATTAATCAACGAAATTCGGGGTTAAAATCAAACCCGCTGTTCTACTCAGCAAGCTCTGTCTGCTCCGAACATATTTTTCTAAATATCGAATTACATTACCTATCATGAGCCTAAAATACCCACAAAGTGTGGGTCAGATATAGACTCCCAGCAAAAAACTCAGTCTTTGGTCTTTACTGTTTGAAACGAAACATGAAGGAAGAATAAAAAGGCAAACAAACAACACGGGAAGGTAAGTCTAGCATTGAGTTGGGCGCAACAAAGCTTGGGGTCCAGAAAATGGTGGTCAGTGAAACCAAGCCCAACCACAAACAATCCAAAAGAAACACATATTCACAATGTACCTCGGTTGCTTTCTGCTCCCCTGCTAAAAGTGAATAACTTTAGTGGTTTAATTCGGAAACCCATGAGTTGGCAAAAAGTTAAAGTCCTAACATCCAAGCAAAATGCGTAAATCCAAGGCTCTTCCGCTTTGTCTCTTCAGCTTCCAGCTTCGATTTGGGCTCTCGAGAGCCCTTGCCTCGCTTGCCCAATGGTTTATCGTGAAAACAACTGCCTTGCTGGTTCATTCTGATGCATTGGTTGATGTGGGCCGTTTTTTTTGGGGGGAAACCCTGCTTTTGGTTGGCTTTAAATGGCAAACCAAAAGGATATGGGCATTTCCAATTTTAAGCCAACCCATCTTGACTTCTTAAGGCAAACCCATCTTGACTTCTTGGTTCAGTTTGACTTGTCGGCCAACTATCCCTTTCGATTCGGTCCCTCTGTCGCAAAAAAACACCCAGCGGATGTTAACGCAACATGACAAAGCCCCAACTGGCAAACCTTTAGCCAAGCCTCGAAAATGGAACCACGCCCAATCAGTCAAAGAAAATGGCACACAGGAAGCCACTCAAAGTGGAGCATGGCTATGTTGGCAAGCGAGTGATCCCTTGGATGAGTTTGGGAACTAAAAGAAAGCTGAATCCAAGGTGGAAGCCAAGCTTGACAGACTAATTGACAAAAAGGCACTAAAGACAGTAGATGACTTGGACCGTTGAACGTGGGATGCCAATAGGAAGGGAATCCTTCCCCCATCTTTGTTTTCCTTGAACAATCAATCAACCAAAACCTCCATTTGCTGAAGTCCCCTGGAAAAAAAAAAACATATTTCCAGTAGTTATAGATTCCCTTTAAAGCCAGCAGGGGAAAACGAACAATATTCATTTCACCAAATGCAAGAAAACCGAAAGGGTTCTTACTTCCTGAGTGGATTGGCCAAAACAAGTCGAATCTTGAGGCTTACCACAAAAACCGAATTCCCAAAAAGTATACATCGCCCAGAGTGTGCGAGTTGTTTTTTTTGTCTCCCTAGTTTTCAGCACCAAATGATAGCTGTTTCTCGTGCTTACCGCAAGCAGTGTACAACAAATGTATGGGGAACCCTATCAACAATTGCCCTTTGTGAGGGCCCAAGATGCTGAGGCAAAGAAGTTTGTGTGCGCGCGCGCGTGCTGAATGGAATGCCGTTTGCTTGCTTCAGCCTACGGAAGCTTGGCGCCATCTCGTGTCGGACTTGGATATTATCCACGGATTTGCCCTCAATGAGGTCTTATTCAGAAAGGGATCCCCTGCCCATAGCAGGATGGTTGATTAAAAAACAGAAAACGAGTTGGGCGGCGGCCTCAAAATCGTTGACTCCAAAAATGGTTGGCACCGCGCCTTGTGCTTTTGCTTCCTTTTCAAGGGTCCGCCTTCCCCCGGCTCAAAACGAATATACCCTGAAGACCCCATCGGCCACAAGCAAACATTTTCTCAACACGGAAAAATAACCAAAACATGACATGGTCACACAGGGGAAAACGCAAAACGAGAGCTGGAACATCTGGACAAGAAAAAGGGAGTTGCGACCGCAATCTTGAACTGGTCAATGGGGATTTTGTGCGAGGCTCACCTGAAAAAGGGGCTGTCCTCAGATCCCTGCTGAAAGTTGACAACTTTCAAGTCGGAAACTACCACTAAACCCATCAAAAGCAACTAAAAAGCTAGGACGACTCTTTGGCTAGGTCCTCCAGTAGAGAGGTAAGAATAACAGGGATCCTTACATTATACACCTGAACATTGCCTTGTAAATGATGGGTGTCTTTTACTTTGGTGGAAAAAGCCATGTTTCAAATGGGCGAAATGTATCTTTTAAGGAGCCCTGAATAAGGGTCCCTTTTTTTCTGTAGTCTATTTTGGTAGGGGAACCCTCGCTAAAAAAGGTAAAAGGGCACTTCTGGGGCACCTAGTTGGGAGCCTTAAAAAAAGGGCTGCAACTGCTCAGCTGGGACGCTTCGCTTCTCTTCCACCACTTCATCCTCCTCAGCCTCCTCCTCCTCAGCACTCTCCAGGGCGCCAATCTGTTGGTCCAGGTCGTTGAGGGACACCATGGCAGCGGCTCGAGAGGTCCCAGCTATACCAACAGATGCATAAGTAGATAGAGAAGATAGAAAGATAGTGATAGGTAGAAAGAAAGAAAGACAGCAGAAAGATAAATGAACAGATAGGCGTACACTTTCGGGTACTACCTTACGAGTATTTGTGGGAATCTAACCCCATCAAAGTTGAGGGATGTACATACAGAATGAGGGACCTTGGCTTACGACTCTAACCCTATTGTACGCATGAGGTGTGGGTGTGCTGATATTCCAGCGTTCGCGCCAGAGATAACACATAAAGGAGATGGCATGGTGGATGCCTTGCATCGACGACAAATAAAGCAACCATAAGCGACAAGTATGGCAAATCACTAGAACATTGAAGGGTCTCAACTCTCAACTTGTTCCCATGAGCAATTTTTACATGGCTGTCCATTTTCAGATGCCCTGTTAAAAGTTTAACTTGTGGGTTGAGTTCGAAACCCACTCACCACACTCGCTAAAACCCATCAAAAAACCTAAGCCTGGAGTCTCCATGACCCTTAAAAACGGGGTCATTACCCAAAATAATGGGGGTCGTTGACCAAATTTTAAAGGGTCATGGAGACTTCAGGAGGGGATACCCCCCACTCAACCAACAAGAAGCACCTAACCTGAGAAACACCGGATGGCCAGGGTTCGCCTCCGGTTTCGTTTCGGCAAGCCCAGAGAGACGGTTTTAGGAGAAAAGCCTCAGACTGCCTGGTGCCCGTATGGCATGTGAGTGCCGCACAACTTCCATACGTCACGTCCCCTGGACCAAAGAAAAACAAGATATGTCTCGCCCTCTGGAAAAAATGTAGTAAAAGTGAATATATGTCCAGTAGTGATGCCTTCCCTTGAAAACCAAAAGCGGAAATAAACACATAGTCTTAAGCAACCTGAGATTGAGGTCGGCTTGCCACCTTCTCCGTTGAATCTGTGCGGGGGTCAAAGTGCTATCAGGTCTCAAAGCGGGGCACGACTTGTGATTTGGTCAGCGAGATAGGCTGCAGCTCTGAGCCGAAAGGATCACAAGGGTGCTACAAGGAATCCAAAAGGAAACCAACCCAGAATTTGTTGAGGTCATCCAAAAACAGACACAACCGCATCATGCAATCAACGCCGCTTGAACAAAGACATCGTGTAGGTACGTAGGTGGTGTGCTCTGAAGGCATACGGCTCGGCAGGCCCGCTGGCGCGTGCGAGTGCATATTAACCATTATGCGGTTGTGTGTCAAAACCAGACCAAATTTGAGACGGTGCTCAAGAAACTGTAACACATTTGGGAGCCACACACTTGACACACACACACACAAACACCTTTGCACGGCAACGGGCGAGTTCCTCCTGTAATCCAACATGAAAAGCAAACAGCGACTCGCTGAGGGAAAACGGCAGCTTCAACAAAAGCCAACAAAAGCCGAGTTCCTCCTACAATCCAACCTGACAAGCCAACAGCCCAACAGCGACTCGCTGAGGGAACAGCGACTCGCTGAGGGAACCTTGTTTAGCAAGTTCACTCATGAAGTGAGTCTTTGTAAATGCTGATCGCCCCAAAGGAGCTCACCTTTGATTTCTGGGTCCAATCTGGGCAACTCAGCAAGAAGAGTTTGGAGAACAGGACCCGTTCGAAGGCTTTTAGACACGAGTTTCGTTTTCCATGGTGCCATCCAAACTCACCACGAGAGTCAATATGTAAAGCGAGCCCGGAACTTAGAACTTATGCCTGTTGTGGTTTGGACACATTAAATCGTTACGCCAGAATGGTGTTGCGACCAAATCACCCATGATGAAGGCTTCTTGCTTGGGGATTTCTTACTTCAGGTTTGTGAATCATAGTTTTCTTCTTGTTGGGGTTAGTGGGGATCATGGACAAAGGCTGAGAGGTTTGTGACGACCATCTTAAAGATTCGTAGGTCTCTGACCGTCCCACAAGCTGCGCCCAAAACCCTTTGATTGTTTGGTTCTACCAACAAGCTTATGGTTTTGTTCTGGGCCGTGGCATCGAGCCAACTCTTCGAACCACGGGAGCGTCGCGCGCGGAAGGACCGCGGCTGCACTTCTGCGGGCCCCGAAGGCTCCCTGAACCGAGGCTGGCACCAGCTGCCCCTCAACTGGCCTGGCCGAGGGACTTTCGAAGGATGGGCTTCTCGAGCTACGGAGGTTAGCAAGTCACTGGCTGAGTGGATGGCCCAAAGAAAGTCCAAACTGTATATTTACCACTAAAATGGTCTTCCCAAGAATTTAAAGTTCATGAACTCAGGAAGTCAGGTATAGCAAGTGTACTTAGTTGCTCAAGGCACCCTGGAGTAATTAAAAGGTTAACCTTTTGGAGCCATGAGTAAATGGACCTTTGGGCAAGTAAGTATACAAAGGGCAAATACTACGTTGCAAGCATATGTTGCTGGTACAAAAAGCACCCATACCTCCACAAAGCATACCTGGACATGCCCTTGTAATCATGGGTATATGCAAACCAGCCCACGACAGGGGGAGGAGGTTTTGGACCTCAAAAATCTTCCTGCTTGGCCCAATCGACGCTTGTAGTAGCTATTTACTGAGCAGGTTGGCCCCATGCGGCGAGCCACTCACGCAGGCCAACATGCGCAAGCATATCGCCAGGCCGTGCGAGCAAAGCATGAAGCTTATGTTACTATGTCCTCCAGTAGAGAGGTTACAACAAGTTTGCCCTTTTTCTGTAGTCGATTTTAGTGGGGGAACCCTCCCCCCGAAAAAAGGGTAGAAGGGCACTACTGGGGGACCCAGGTTGGGTAATTGGATAATGTAATGTTAACAGTTGCAGTTGTGCCCCCATTTTGCCAAGGACATTCCTCAGTGGACCACTAAAATGGTCTAAACCCAAAAAGTGACACAAGTCCAAAACTCTGGAAGTGAGACGAGGGCCGGGGCCACATGCCCTTTCTTGTTGCCGTGGGATCAGATTAAGGTTTTGCTTTTTTGCCCTCCTTCCAATGAAAGCGCACTGGTCTTTTGGCTTCAATGAGTGGACAGGGGCCATCACCGAACCTCAGCAAAAAACAACAGACACACCAAACAGAAAGACTGACAAACATACACACAAACATACCCCGAGGATCCAGTGTATGAACTATTTGCTAACATTTGCAGGCGACACCTGGGGGGAACTCCGACACTCCCAGGAACCCTCCGATGCCCCCCAGAGCTGCATTCGACAAACTCGATTTTCGACAAAAAATAGTCCGACAAACATGGCCAGGAGATGCATCATCCAATAGCCCAAAAATCCTGATTTGTTGGTCCTAAGGCATATAACGGGGTACATACATGCTTCAGACGCTCACAAGTTCGAATTGTGGGGGTCCTTTGGCGCAAACCTCCCGTCATGTTGGGCTTAGGGTGTCCAGAATCTTGTGTTTTTTTGTTTTTTTCTGGTCCTTTGATGTACCAAAACAATCATCACTGGTACATTCATTATTGAGCTATCCACAAATGTTTCGTTGTTAGTCCTTTGACCTCATGTTGGGGCATAATTGATCTCCAGCATGTGTTTTCCCTCCACACATCAAGCTCAGCCGCTGCAGCTTTATCCAGAGGCTCCTTGTCGATGGCCCCCATTTACCAATTTGCAATATTATGCTAGGCTAGTAGGCAAACCCTTAATGTGGATAAATTCATGGAGCCTCTGGTTTTTGGCCCAGTTCGGCGCTAAAGCCCGGATTCACCGCTCCTGCCAGCGGCTCAGCCGAAGGAGCCACCGACACAGAATCCGAAACTCCATCCATTTACGATGCACTCGACGGCATAGGTGTTTCACCTGCCCTATCATATCCTCATCTTGATAACAGTGGAAAAAACGTGCGCTATAAAGCTCAGTCTGCATTGATATAGTCACTTCCTGCAGTAAGTGGAAACGCGGCTTCAAAGGGTAGCGCAGCTGGCCCCTGACAGCATGTCGATCAGCAAGTAGCTTGTAGTACTTCAGAAACCTGATCATGAGAGGCCCAGGGCATGATTGTGCAAGAGATGATGGATTAGTACTAGCGCCGAACACGTTTGGAGTTGCCCACAGCACATGGTGTGCGGCTATATTCGACGAGGCCGCTATTGTTTTTGAAAAAAAAACAGCATGTAAACCGCGCAATTGTTGCAGAGGATCTGATTCGCACACGCAGCCATGTCATCAGCTTGAACCTGTGTCAGGTAGCGCCCGCACGTCTCCAGCTTTAAATACCAAGCAGACAACGAGGCACACGCAACGGCCGCAAAACCCATATCAGCATCCTCCGGACACTGGATGGCCGTGTGTTGCGCCACCACTGTGAGGAACGCCGTCATGATCCGGCCATTCCACGCTTTGAGCGTCATGACCGGGTAATCCGTGTCGCTCAAGTGGAGGACCCCCGCAGTGATATAGTTCTGAGAGTGCCTGCATTGAAGGATGCATCGATGAACGGAAAATAAACAATAAAAAACAACTCGAGTGCGAAGATTAAGACTGTGCCAAAGCTACGGGATGCTCTGCAGGCTGCACCACGCTTTGAATCGCGCAGTCAAGATCTCAAGCTTCTCCGACAAAGAGCCACTGCCTGAGCCATGCATCAAGAAAATAAAGGCTGGTGGCTTGCGCTAACTAGTAAACAGCATACAAACAGTATACCGCGTATACTTATCTGCTGGCAGAGCGCCGAACACGCCGTGGTCGCACAGCGCCAGAAACACAGACGCATTGAGCCACTGGGATATACCCAAATGCGCAAAATGCATAACGCAGTAGCGGATCATGTGCGGGGCAAAGCCCACAACCAGCGCCAGAGGACAAACCCGGCCACGGTAAAGGCTCTGGAAGAAGTCAACAGTGCCGCAGCGTGGGAAGTTGTGGAACTCCGAAAACACGGTGTACCTTGGGCCAGATTACAGGAATCAACTAGCGTGAGACATGGTACAGCGTTTCATGACCGAGGCAACATCGCTCTATATATCGACCAGACTTCAGTGTTTCGGGGATCATGGGACCTCGCTCGTGAAGTTTCGCCAGTT